CTCATTGTACTGGAAATTCCTTTTGTGATATAAGTTATGAAGAATATATGAAAATTAAGCAAAAATCCAATTCGGAATATAGTTATGATAATGAGTATGCATTACATCGTTATGAATTGTGGATGCAGAATGCTATCAGAAAAGTTAAACATGCAAGAGAAATCAGTAAGAAAATTCGAGCATGTACAATAATACAGCATAAATTCATTGAATATATGTATAAACCCTATGGTCTTTGTGCTTCAGAATTAGAATTACATTATCAATTATTATGGGCAGTTCGAAAAGAAATGTGTCAAATTAATAATGTATAGATATTAATATCTGTAAAATGAATTATTATCAGTATTAATATGTGTCAGAGACACTAACTTCGCTATAACAATATATAACTTATTTATCTGATTTATATTTATATTTATATTATATAAGTTTTATCTCTTTGAAACATATTTTTCCTTATTTTCATTATAAGAGTATGAATTGTTAAATTATTTATGTCGTCATTAGTGAGAAAAGAAATATGGCATAGTGTTTTCACGGTTCAGATCACTATGTTATGAGACATGAAATAGTTAGCAGAATTCACCCAACTTTTTTTTTATTGTCGAACTATTCATGATATTATAAAAAATTGTGTAATTTTCAAAGAATTCATCGAATTTTTTCATAAAATAAGTAAAAAATGATATATATTTTTGTTTTTTGGAATTTTTTTATGGAAATATGTAACTGAATTATTCTGCGGAATGCCATTTCATAAAAATTACTCAAGTCTTATTGCCCAATTACCTCCATCGATTGTCAATGAAGCATGGACGTGTCTTACTGCTCGAAAACGCAATCCATTAACTGAAGAGGAGGCAAGTAACATTAACTCGATTATTGAATCTTTTTTAAAACATGAAATTGATAGGTATCAACAAAAAAAACAGTGTCAACGTCGTGATTCCAATTCTATATCAAAATTTTTGACTAATTTATCTTTGGATAAAGAACACTATATAACTGAGACTTCTGTTAATAAAGCACTTGTGCACAGTTCCTATACTGAAGAAGAATTTAATATGCGATTAAAAAAAGAAACTGATGCATTGCAACTAAAATTTATTGAAGCTTCAAAGCAAAGAATACTAGAAATTAATATTGCTTTATCTTGCAAATCTGCAAAATTATGTGTTGAAACAATGAAAAGCTGGATTCGAGATGGAAGTATATATATTAAAATTCGTGAACTTGAAATAAAAGATGGAAATGATTATTCAGATCGAAAAAAGTAGAGGAGCATAGTAGATTTGATTTTTAATCGATTTTTATTTTTTTGTCAAATTCAATAGTAGGCTCAACAGTAGACTCAACAGTAGACTTATTTGAAGACTGGCCCATGCTATTGTTGACTTGAGTAGACTCAACTGAAGGCTGGCTTACATCAATGTTAATTCTACACTTAATAGTTTGAAAATGTCGCTTCAACATATATGGATATCGAAATAGTCTGTGGCATAAGTGACAGGTTCTATCTGACATATCATGAATTATTGATTTTTTTTTATCTCTGATGCTTGTAATTTTTCTGTATTAAATGCATTGCGTAATTCTTTGCAAGTAGAAAGAGGAATTATAATAGTCTTTCCATTGTGTGTAGCTTTGAATTCTCCTTTCACTATTGGATCCCATTCAACACGGTGTTGCCATTTTGTACCAAGTATCATTATAGATATGTCTTTTCCATTTCGATCCTTTTTTGTGGGGATTACAGATATTTCTTTTTCAGAAACCGTTATAAAATCTTCTTCAGTACCTATAGTTATAGGAACATTATATGTAGTACCAATATATTGGGAATCTCCAACTGTGCCAGTAAGTTTGTGAACATTTTTCTTATCTATTTTTATCCCTAAATATTCAGGAATATTATCAGTATATAATGAATCATTTGCACCGGTATCTAGAATTGCGTAAGGTATTATCAAGTCACCTAT